GACCCCAGCTTATTAAAATGTAGCCCAGAATAAGGAAGCAAGTGAAGGGGGCCCTCAGTATGAGAAGAGATGCCACTAACTGAATTCAACAGTTAGAAAGGAGAGATTACACAGGCGAAGCACCACTTCTACAGAGGAGGCCTTGTAGTCTCAAGAAGGTACAGGGCCCCTTCCCTTGTCACAGGCAGTTGAGAGTTGTCTCTGCTCACTTCTTGAGGGTGAAGGAGACAGGGAGAAAAGAGATTTGGTGCCCTGATTAAAACCAAGTTGCCTTTCAGGATGCCTGGGTGGTTCAGTGGTTGAGCTCCTGCCTTCAGCATGATCCCGGGGTCCTGGGATCAAGTCCCACATTGGGCTCCCCTAGTGGGCTCTCCCTCTGCCTATGTGTCTGCCTCTTTGTGCATCTCTCATGAATAAATAAATAAAATATTTTTTAAAACCCCCCAAAACAAAAAAAACATGTTGCCTTACTATGTTATTTACCAAAATCAATGCCTTTAATATTTAAAATAATAAATGTCCTTGAGATTCCTGACTTTAGAGGTCAACATTAGCGAAGTCTACTGTATTTGTGCTTTGCCCATCAAGTTATTCAGTTATAAATCTAAAGCTCTCTCTCTCTCTCTCTCTCTCTCTCTCTCTTTTATTCTTCCCTCCTCTATGAATGGAGACCCTATCTTACCTTTTTTTGCTGGGCAATACATTTTACCCCCCCCCCCTTATCCGTGAGTATCTATCTGTTCATTTCTCTAGTTTTGGTTTGAAATGCTTTACTTCATTTTCCCTTTTCCAAGAGGCACCTCAGGATTGGGTAGGAAACTTATTCCTTAGGGTTTAGTCTTGAAAGTTGGGGGAAGTTGGGCTAGGGTACCTAGACTTAAATACTCCCCAGTGAGTAGCTTTCATTAAATCGTGACTTGGATGAGTGTCTGTTACCTGGAGGGCATCCCAGGCAGATCCAAGAGGTGAAAAGCTCCTAGGCCTTTATAATGAAAGCCCCTGCCCTTGATCCCTGGGACTGCAGGGTGTGAGACCCAGAAGGCTGGGCCTGTCCCAGTGCCTTAACTGTGATGGTCGCTTAATTCGTGATTTTCTGAGTGTGCAGATGGAAGCTAGCCTGCAGATGTGCCAACAGAAGGAAAGGGAACCTCCATAGAGGGACAGAGGGCAGAAAGAATGGTTTTTTGATTTTAGGCCACTGTGAAATGCTTGGGGAGGGGAAGCAGAGGTCAGTGCATTTTGATCTCTGAGGAGTTGAAACATCCTGAGTTGGCAGGAGAGGAGGCACCCCAGAAAAGGCGCAGTTAACCTCTGAGTCTGCGAAGGACTCTCCCAGAATGCGTGAGGGTACCAAGTGCAGAAGTTGCGTCTCCTTCAAATCCCATTAGTGGCGAAAGAGAAGATTTTCACAGCCACCTTTTAAAGAAGTGAATGGCAAGAAACAGGATTTTTCTTTCCTTCTGCACCCCCTACTCCCCCTCTCCTCCTGCCCCTGTGGGGACGGAGGGAGGGGCTCTGAGCCTCCACATTCGGAATAATGGCACCAGAGCAATAATGAGACCTTTCTCAAGGACTGCTTTTTCCGCAGAAAGGAGAAGTTATTCATTGTGAGAAGAGTCGCCTTCTCTTAACAATGGCTCTGATGAAGCTGCTAGAAGGTTCTTATCAGGAAGAAAAGACTCCCAGCAGCAGGAGAAGGGGAGAGGGGAAAAAAAATGAAAGGCCACAAAACTCCCAAATCATCCTCCAGGTTCCGTGCAGTGGAGAGGGTAGTGAGGGGAGGCACACTTCCTGAATGCCAAGTGACACAGGCCGGTCAGTCCAAATGAGCCGCTAAAGAGACATATTAACGAAGATGAGAGGGGGCCAGCTTTCCTGCAGGCAGGCTTTTAGCGGGGAGTGCGAGGTTGGCTGCACTTAAACTGTGCCATCCTACGCTTCTCGGGCTGCAGGAAATAGCTGGAGGTCACAGGAGCTTATCCTTTGGCCTCTGCCTAGGGATTTTCTAGATCTGGGTCAGGGGGCCACCCCTTCTTTAGCTGGATTCTGGGAAGGAAGAAGAAATTCACAGCCAGCGGAGAGTCTTGACGAGACCGAAGGCCCATTTTTTTGCAGGTTGTTGGCACTCAGATTCAGAAACGATGGATTTTCTGGGTGCTTAGAGGAAGGAGAAGAAAATTGGAATTAATTTTGCACCTGTTGACTTTTGTTAGAGGCTTCACTGACTTGACCCAATTAATCCTCATCACCTACCGAGAGTGGTGACTCTGATCAAACTCCGATCATAACTGCCTTCTGTTCAAAATGCTTCATCAGGGATGCCTGGGTGGCTCAGCGGTTAAAGCATCTGCCTTCAGCCCAGGGTGTGATCCTGGAATCCTGGGGTGGAGTCCTACATCGGGCTCCCTGCATGGAGCCTGCTTCTCCCTCTGCCTTTCTCTCTCTCTCTGTGTGTCTCTCATGAATACATACATAAATAAAAAAATTAAAAAAAAGAATGTTTAAAAAAAATGCTTCATCGGCTTTTTATACTAAAACTGAGTGAACCTCTGGTCTTCATCCACACCCAGAACTGAAAGCTTCCACCCTGTGGCCACCACTCACCTCTCCTGCTGTTTCTCCCACGACTGATGCATACGGATCTCTGGCTTTAGTGTTTCCCCGGTCAGGACGTCAGTGTTCTGCTTTCCTGTCTTGCTTGATGTTTTTCCTTCCACCTAGAATGTTCTCTCGACTTCTTCTCCTGCTTCATTCACTTGTTGAAATCCTACCTTTCTTTCAAAGTCATGTGAACTTTCCTTCTCCATGAAATCCTTCTCAATATTGAGTTAACTTCTCCCTCTCTGGAACTCCCAGAGCAGTTTTCTTCTCGCTTAGAAGGTTTCTCCTATAGCACTTTTTATGACTATTTATGGTCTTATCCAACCCTCTTTATTGAACCACCGGTCCTTCAAAGGTGGAGACTGTGTCCTGTCTCTTATCTCTCTATCTCTCAGTGACTGACACATAGTAGGTGATCATTAGTGATGCAATTGGATTTGCATTAGCATTCAGATCTCTAATGTTGAAGTAGCACGAATTTTGTTTTGTCTTATCATTTCTTTTCTTTTTTTTAAAGAAGATTTTATTTACTTATTTGACAGAGAGAGAGTGTACAAGCAGGGGGAGTAGCAGGCAGAGAGGGAGGGAGAAGCAGGCCCGCAGTGAGCAGAGAGCCCTACTTGGGGCTTGATCCTAGGGCCCTGGGATCCTGACCTGAGCCAAAGGCAGACACCCAACCAACTGAGCCAACCAGGAGCCCCTGTCTTGTCATTCCTAAGTTGATTTGGAACGCAAATTCATGGGAAACATCCAGATCTGCAGAAGCAACATTCCAGTGCTAAATGGAACATCACATGGGAGAGCTATTCCTGACTGTCATCCTTGGTTAGAACAGATTGTTTAAATGGATTTGGATTTTGGCTCCTTTCACCTCTTTTCCTTCTCCTCTAAAGACAGTGAGATAGAACAATACAAAGTGGAATTTACTGTACACTGAGTCTGTGCCTGGCACCTGTTAACCACCTTACATCATTAGCTGGTTTAAGTTTTCTAAGAATCCTTTGAAGGGGGCATTATTCTCATTGCGTAGCTGAATAAACAAAGGCATAAGAGAGTAAAACAAGTTGCTCAGGGTCCGATAGCTAACTAAGACCCCAGCTCAGATCTTGGTTCCATACTCAGGCACTTGCCCATTGAACTACGCTGCCTTCTGGGCTCAATCCAGATGATATTCTGATAAAGGAACAGACAAGGAACACATATATCCTTTTCATTTCTGTAAGCTTTTTGTACACAGTTCACAATTTAAAAAAAAACTGACAACAGGGGATCCCTGGGTGGCTCAGTGGTTTCGTGCCTGCCTTTGGCCCAGGGAGCCATCCTGGAGTCCCGGGATCGAGTCCCACGTCAGGCTCCCGGCATGGAGCCTGCTTCTCCCTCTGCCTGTGTCTCTGCCCACCCCCCTTTCTGTCTTTCATAAATAAATAAATAAATCTTAAAAAAAAACTGACAACAAATTTTGGTTTTCTGCTGTCACGTGAGAATATTCCAGACACCAGAGCTGCAGGCCTACCCTTCTTTGTTAAAAATGAAATTTCAGAAAGTCCCTTAAGGGAAGAATAGATGGATAGTAGGAGGTTAGCAGTGGATCCTGTACCTGTTGACCCTCATTATACCTGAGGCTCTCTTAGTGATCATCACCTCTGGGAGCCACTGGTCAGGCAGAGAGAAAATGGGTGTTATGGTCAGAAAACTATGGTTCAAAGCCCATCTCTGCCACTGACCAGTCAAGTGAAATTTGAGTAACTTATGTAAACTTTGCAGGCCTAGTATTCTCATCTATACAATGGAGAGTGTAATAACCCTGGGATTGTTTGTTGTGAGGATCGAAGAAAGGACTAAAGGTGATTAAATGGCCATGGAAGAGTTGAAATTGCAACCATGATGGTTGAGCCACCTTATTTAGAGCGGCTTTTAGAAATGTCTTTTAGATGTGTTCTCTTATATTGCCTAAAGGTGACCAGATCCATGTGATACAACTTTTTTTTTTAAGATTTTATTTATTTATTCATGAGAGACACACAGAGAGGCAGAGACACAGGCGAAGGAGAGGCAAGCTCTATGCAAGGAGCCCAATGTGGGACTCGATTCCAATACCTTGGGTTCATGCCCTAAGCCAAAGGCAGATGCTCAACCAACCACCAAGGCACCCAGGTGTCCCTACAATGTCTTACTTTAATGCATTTCTACCTCTGCCCAGGAAGCTTTCCCAGCCCAATCCTAAACTCAGTGATCGCCCATGCAGAGTGCTCCTGCAAGTGTCCTGTGCACACATCTCTTTGCCTTGCCTCCCTCCACAGACATGATCTGTGGAAGAATCTTGTCAAGATGGCACTTGGGCCAAGGGCAGAGCAGCAAAAACAACCATGTACCCATTTTTAAGGATACCAAAATGTGCCGCGCTCACTTCTGCAGCACATGTACTAAAACTGGAATGATAACAGAGAACATCAGCCTGGCCCCCGTGTAAGGAGGACACCTAAATTCATGAAGCGTTTCTTATTTAAAAAAAAGAATACCAAAATGCTTAATAACTTTTTTTTTTAATGTTTAATAACTTGCCTGAGACCATGTGATTAGTCAGTAGCAGAACTAGGAATCCAATCCCGGGACTCCTCTCGCTATACCAGGAAACAGTGACTTAGAAGAGAAACGTGTCCTGGCCCAGGGAAGAGGTGACAGTCCAGAGGTAGGTGAGATTAGTTTTTCTCGTCGCCTCTAATTTCCTTTCATTTCCAAACCCTGGCTACCTGCTAATGGCTTGGCAGAAACTTCAAAATTAAACTTGTGAGAGCAATCACTGTTATTGGACCTCTAGGCAATTATAGTAGCTGTCAAAGGTTTTAAAGCCAACATCCAGCCTGACCCTTTCCAAATGACTCAAAAGTGGCATTTTAATGAGAAATGAAAGCAGAAAAGGTGTTTTTAATTTTTTTTAAATTAGAGGGTTTTTTTTTTTTAATGGACAAAATGGCACTGAATTTTGCTGCTGATCCAAAGGGTATGGATAGGATTGTGAGACAAGGGAGCAGAGCCCAGGGCTGTTGACTTTTGTTTGTAACTGTGCTTCCTTAGCCTCTCCCACTGGAGCCTATTAGGAGAAGCCCCACAGAGGGGTGTTGAAGGATTAGTCCCCATCAGGCTTTATGCTCATGAGTGCACTTGGGATAGCTGAATTACCAGCACTGGTCAATCTGCATTTTCTTCTTTATCTCTGGGTCTGGTCAAGGCTAACCTACAAGGTGCCAAGATTGAGCTACTTTTAAAAATCGATGGATTGATGGATCGATCTTCCAGCCTTATTGAGATGTAATTGGCATGTAACATTGTGAAAATTTAAGCTGTACAAGGTGATGATTCGATACATGCATATACTGCAAAATTATTAACCACAGAGAGGTTAGTTAACACTTCCATCACTTCACATAATTACCATTTTTTGTTTTGCAGTAAAAACATTTAAGATCTACTCTCCTAGCATCTTTCAAGCAGTCTGTAACACAGTGCTGTTAACTGTGGTTGCCATGCTGTCCATTAGACCCCCCCCCAAACTTATTCATCTTACAGCAATAAGCTTATCTTAAAAAAATTGTTTTAGTGGTACTTTTTAAATTTTTAAAAAAATTTTTTAAAGTTTTTTTTTTAATTTATTCATGAAAGACAAAGAAAGAGAGAGAGGCAGAGACACAGGCAGAGGGAGAAGCAGGCTCCATACAGGGATCCCAATATGGGACTCAATCCTGGGACTCCAGGATCACACCCTGGGTCAAAGGCAGGCCCTAAACCACTGAGCCACCCAGGGATCCCCAGTGGTACGTTTTTTAAAGACAAAATTCACTCACTGTAAATGCACCCCTTTAAGGTGTACCATTCAGTAGGTTTTAGTACAATCATCACCACTATTTCCAGAACATTTTCATCATTCCAAAAAGAAACCTGTACCCATTAGCTGTCACTTCCCATTCCCCCTTCCTCAAGTGCCAGGGTAAGCTAGGGGCCTGAGGTTATGGGGGCCTGTAGGGAGCATCTAGGGCTGAAGGGTCAGCCTGGGGCAAGCTGGTCCTGGTGTCCTCAATTCACTCTCCTTTCATGGGGGATGGGTGTCTCTGCACTCGGCTACCTGGAGAAGGGATGGGGGTCATGTAAATTTATCTTTCCTATCTCCTCATTGTGTCTTTTATTTCTGTGCTTCGTGCTTCACCCAGGTGCTAGAATCCCTCACCTGGAACCCACAGATCTTTAGAAGGTATTTTCCCGTGCAGATAGTTGTTCAAAATGACATCTCTAGGGAGAGGAACACAGAAATTTCTATGCTGCTGCTGTTTTGCTAAGGTCACACCCTCTCATTGTAGTCTTGATTCTATTTTCCTAATGAATCATGGTGTTCAATGTTTGTTTATTTTATTTTATTTTATTTTATTATTTTATTTTATTTATTTTAATTTTTTGAGAGAGAGAGTTTGTGCACATATGTGAGCAGGGGTGGTATGGGGCGGGGGGCGGGGCAGAGGGAGAGGGAGAGAGAGAAACCTAAGCCAGCTTCACACCCAGTGTGAAGCCCTATACAAAGCTCCATCTCATGACTTTGAGATCATGACCCGAACTGAAATCAAATAGTCAGACACTCAGTTGACTTAACGGAGCCACCTAGGCCTCCTACATGGTATTAAGCATATTTTAAAATACTTACCAGTCATTTGTATATCTTTGGAGAAATGTCTATTTAGATCCTTTGCCCTTTTTAATATTGGACAGTTTACCTTATATTGTTGAGTTGTCAGAGTTCTCTATATATTCTGGATACAAATCCGAGATATGTGATTTAGAAATACTTCTTTTCAATTTATGGGATGTCTTTTCACTTTCTTGATAGTTTTTGAAACATAAAAGTTTAGAATTTTAATGCAATCCAATGTACCTATTTTTAAAATTTTGTTGTTTATGTTCTAGTGTCATATTTCAGAAACCACTGCTTAATCCAAGGCCATGAAGGTTTATGCCTATGATTTTCCTTGAAGAGTTTTATAATTTTAGCTTTTAAATTTAGGTCTTTGATCCATTTTGAATTAATTCGTGTCTGTGGTGTGAGGTAAAGCTCTTACTTCATTCATGTGAGGCTAGGGATCCAATTTTTGCATGTGAATATCCAGTTGTCTAGCACCATTTTGTTAAAAAGACTATTTTTTCCCCTCATTCAGTCCTCAGGGCATCCTTGTCAAAAGTGAGTTTACTATAAATGTATGATTTTATTTCTGAACTGCCAATCTTATTCCATTGATCTATATGTGGTACTTATACCAGGATCTTTTTCAAGATCCTTCTGGTTTTTCTGGGTCTCTTGAAAAATTCTGGGACCTGTTTGTCCATTTCTTCAAGAAAGCCAGGATTTTTGTAAGGATTGCACTGAATTTGTAGAACAGCTAAGGGTGTATTACCACATTGATAATATTAAGTCTTCAATCCATGAACATTGACTGTCTTTCAATTTACTTAGGTCTTCTTTAATGTCTTTCAATGATGTTTTGTAGTTTCCATTGCATGAAACTTGTATTTCTATTGCAAAATTTATTCCTAAGTATCTTATTCTTTCTGATGCTAGTGTAAAAATAATCATTTTTCTTAATTTCATTTTTAGATTATTCATTGTAAGTGTATACATTGTATGATTGATTTTTGTATATTGATCTTGTGTCCTACAACCTTGCTGAAGTTATTTATGAGAACTATAAGAACCGTGTGTGTGTATTTTTTGATATTTTCTATAGACAATCTAAATAAATTTGATTCCTTTTCATTGCCTAATTTCTCTGGTTAGCACCTCCAGTAGAATGTCAAATAGAAGTAGTAAGAGCAGACACCTTGTCCTGTTCCTGATCTTAGATGGAAAGCACAGTCTCACCATTAATTTTGATATCACTTGTGATGTTTTCTTAGATGCCCATTATTAGGTTGAAGAAATTCTCTTCTAAGATGGTTGAGCATTTTTATCATGAAAAGGTGTTGGGATTTGTCAAATGCTTTTTCTGCAATTATTGTGATAATCGTGTTTTCCCCCTCTTGATTCTACTAATAGTGTATTACAGTGATTGATTTTCATATGTTGAACTAACTTTGCATTTCTGGGATAAATCCCATTTGGTCATGGTGTATAATCCTTGAGTTACTCTTCAGGTCTCCCGAGACCATGGACTCTAAGCCATATTGGACACGAAATGCCATTTAGCGACACTGAAGCCATTCGTTTTGCCCTGTTATTAAATATGAAAATAACCTGACTTCAACAGCTGGATTGTGTTCAAATTAAAATACCTCCACCTGACCTTTTTGAGCACCATGACTATGTAATGTTATCTCTAGGTCCAAGTGCTGGACACAGTCTGGTGTATAGTAGGCATGCGACTGGTGATTTTTGAATGGATTAATTTGCACACACAGGAAAAAAATTTAAAAACAGCTTTGCCTCTTTGGGGGGACCTCTTCTATAGTTCTGAGCTCTGAGACGTGTGAGGTGAGGCTCTGGAGCAGCAAATATACCACACATAGTAAGTTTGCTCTAAGTACTAGCGATGAAATCCTATCTTCTGATCATGCAGATTGGCTTGAGAGGTGAAAGAAAAGCAGCTGAATTTAAAAATCAGGAATTTTCTTTGAGTATACTTAATCTGATGGCTGTTATATGTATTTCTGATTGCTAGATGTAAATACAACACTTATTCTTCCCCCACATAATTTTTTTTTCTGTATTTTTTCACAGCTTTGTGTTTGTGAGGATAATGCCAACCTTGACCACTGTTTTCTTCCTTAATGACTTATACAGTCCATGGCAGCAGAATGTGTGGGGTGGATATTCGTTGAATAAATAAATGAATTACAAATATAGGTTGAAAGAAGGATAGATGAATGACAGAAGAAACCAGTGGAACAGGCCTTTCCTGGAAGAATCTGAAAAGTCTGCCACATTTATAGTTTAAGTCAGTTATTAATCAGGGTGCAGGTCAGGAAAAGTGGCATAGGCATCACCCCAGAGCGGGATCTCAGACCCCTCCCCAGACCTAAACAATGAAAACTGCATTTTTACAAGATTCTGAGGTGACTGCCAAGCACAGTCAAGGTTGAGAGACCGCTCTGAAAATGTGGCCAGATGCTTGCTCTGGTGTTGTTTCATTTTCAAATGAATCATGGTATCTGTAGGTACAGTTCAACCTTAGATAATGCAAATCAGTATGAAGGGATCGTCTCGTATTAATAAAATGAAATCAGCAGATAGTTCTTGAATCAGTATTTAGTATTTCTTGGATCAGGAAAGGAGAGTTACCGTCTCTTTCTTGCTGGGAAGAGATGACCTGGTATAGTTGCTCCTTCAAAATATATACTTCAGGAGTGGCCTACAGGGACCTCCAAATTATCTGAGTCATTCTTTTGGATTCAAGTTTGTTGTCACATCACTTGGGACAATGAGATAACTGCTATGTGAGCTACATTAGCATAATTTAAAAACTGGACATTG